AAGGGGAAGCGCCAGGCAGTCTCGCGCTGCTCGGGAATCAGCGCAGCTGGGCCAGGCTGCCTTCACCGGGCGCAAGGGACCGACGCGTCCATGGCGCAGCCCGGGCCAAGGAAGGAAGGGTACCGCAACCCTTTCTGGCGCTGGGCGAGTGTCTGAACTCTTCCAAAAACTTCCCTTGCTGCAGATTAAGCCCACTGCTAGCATCTGGAGATTAGAGGGAAGCCTCCTCTGGGCCAGGCTGTCGCGTGAGCAGTTAACCCTGCGTGTGCCCCTGGCCTCGGTGTCACGAGAACTGCACACGCGGAGTTAACTGCTGGGTTTCACATGGAAACCCCGTATCGCAAGTCAAGGATCTGCAAAGAAAACTGAAGAGGATTTTGGCCATGTAGTGCCCTTAAAAACGAATGCAAAAGGTTTCGATAGTATGTGAAATCTGCGGATTGTTGTTTTACATTTAAAAAGTGTTGCATATAAAAAAAAAAAACCTCAACAGGAGTCTAAATAAACGCAGGCAAGTGAGTCGGCAAGAAGATGTAAAATCATCGGGAAAGGCAGCGTTTGCTTTCATATGGGGATTACTGTAAACACTAGGAGCGCATGGTAACAATTTGTAGCCCATGTGTTTTGAAATATCATAACTGGTGTCAATAAACACATTAAAATTTGACTTCAAAGAGCATTGTGGATGTTTGGAGTGTCACGAAAACATTGCAAAATGGGGATTTTAGATGGAAACAAGTATGGGAGCAATCAAACACAGCTCCTGTGTGAAGAAAGGGATCTTGTCGAGTTGTTAGAGCTAAGCATCTGTGATGGTGATTACTGCTTCTTACTGGCTACGAACTGCACTCAGCGCCTGATTCCTTTCACACTGTCGCCCTTGCCTTCCACCCGGCCTGCTTGTTTGTCTCATCCACCTGTTATGTCTCATTTTACAGACTGAATTCTTTGGAGCAGGGCCTGCCATTTGCTCTTTATTCCCATAGTGCCCGGGTTAGCCTGATTGATTTCCATGCACTATATCAATATAAATAATAAATTCATGTTGTATTTCTACCAGAATGATTTGTGGCATAGATAAAGTGTTGTTCTTATATGCTGACAAGCTGCCTTGGTGAAAGTTTCTAGTGTCACTGCAGCATTTGATGCCTTTTTAATACTTCAGGCACTGTGAACCACTGGCCCAGGCTTTTAGGATGTGGAGAAGATGCTGGTGAGCAGCCTCCCTTCCCTGTGAATAGTGGTGTTCTGAACGGAAGTATTTTGCTGCTTACTAAAGCCTTCCTCACTTACACTTCCCCTGGGTTGAAATACCCTCTTTTCCTCGTATTTTCCCTTGAAACATGTTTCTGATGCATTTGGATTCACTCTATGCGTCCACTGCAATTTATTACACAAATCACATGTATGCTCCTGGGAGATGGGTCTAGAGCTGTGATCTTTCAACTGTGTAAGAATAGACTTCTAACGTGTGGGCTTGGCTAGTACTGTAGATAAATCCCTTGGTTTGTTTCTGGGATACCCCAAGTGCTGGGATACCAAAAATGCTGAGTTACTGCTGTACGTACAAAGGCAATGTTTTCCTGCTTGTACGACTCTCTGCCTTGAGATTTATGCCGTCACATGCCACCCTCTTGTTCTTTCTTATTTTGTCCTTGTTAATGTATTTAGCATATCTGAGGTCAAAAAACCTTCTCCTGAGTTACAGCTAAACAGCGACTGTTGATTTTACTTTTGCATGCAACAAAGATACTGCAAAAAAAATTCTCAACTATAGTACCCAGAAATAGTCCCCAACCTAGGCTTGTTATCTTTATACCTAAAGCTAGTTCCAGCTAAATAAAATGTGCACATATATACACTGGACTGATGCCACAGGAATATGTAATGATTAATGAGGAGGTTTGATTGTAAGAAGTGAGATACAGAAATATGATTTCTTTGAAGCTTCATGGCAATCAAAAAATTGCAGCTTAAAATGCACTTGGAAAGCTCTATTGGTCACCCTGTTGATAGACATGCTGTCACAGATCTTTCTTAGCCAGCAGCCTGACATCTGTCCTCCCCGTTCACAGAAGGAAACAAGCAAACTATAAGCCGAGAAGATACCAGCATTTTAGGGAGGATTCAAAACAAGGGTGGAGATGAGAGGAGGTAGAGCAGGAAGAGGGAGGGTGGAGGTGTGCCCCAATAAAGTGGCAGGTATAACTTGCCTAAGAAGCTCAGTTATTTCATGGAGAAATGTATGCCCATTCATCAAGTTACTTGTCAAGGTTATGATGGATATGACAGGTCTTACTTGGAGAGGCATGTCTGAGATTTCCTAAGAACTGAATTAGTCAAAGAAACTCGATTGCCTGTGGAAAACTGAGAAAGAATCTGAGTGGAGTGAGTTTGGGGTATGACCAAACCTCTTGGGTATGTCCCCTTTCTGTGTGAAACAGAGAATATCATGATTGTCTGGGTTTCGTGGAAGGCTTCTGTGATGAAAATTAGTATTTCAGAGGTTTCCTCTCTATTTGGTATACTATAATCATGTCATCTCCACTGCTGCCCTGTACTGTGCCTGCTCTCAGTTAGGTTACGCTCAGAAAACAGTCAGCTGAGGATGACAAGGCCCACTGAAAAGCAATGAAAATACAGAGAACACTCCGAAATAACCTGGTGCAGGAAAGGATGGAGAGCAGCATCTCTCAGTCAGTCTCTGGTCCTATTTGTCTCTCTCTGTCTTTGGTAACTCCTTCTAGGTTTAGAAAGACTTTTATCCCCGTTACTACGGATATTACACATTAGTTCAAGTTGTTGGGGTTTTCAGGCATACAGGTATGTGGGCATACAGGCTATGAGTTACCATGGGGCCTGCTGTTCCTTTTCCCTACCTCCTGTTTCATCCCAGGTAAACTCAGACCTTTCACAGGGGCTCATTGCCCCTTTCTAGGTGCTTTCCAGGCTGGCCTGATTCACTCAGCATCTGGCCTGAGTTACAGGTTTGCCTCCGGTAGTATTTGGATAGAGGACTGGTGTGGAGGAAGGATGAGGCCTAACTTGCCTGGGGGAACCATTTCTGTGCAGGCAACATGGTCAATAAAGTGCAAAGCCTCGTACAAGCCAGTAAGTGAAAATGTGTGCTTAGCACTTACATATATTATAGGTGAGCAAGAGTGGCCTATAAACAACGTGTTTAACTATCTATGAATTTTTACAATCCAATATCTGTGGGACAGAGCTCATACGTTTGGTATGTCGTGAAAAGTACATTACTGTGTTTCCAATGCACCTCTCAGCTTTGAATTCATGTGCAATCCCAGTGAGAGGTGGCAAACAATGTATACCATCGAGTTAAGGCATTTGCAGCTACTATGAGAGGAATTTGGTTGTCTCAGTCCTGTTCCTGATGTCTCTCTCCACACTGACAGTGCCTGGTAAACCTCAAAGGCCAAAGACAGATGGGCTCTCGGAAAATGAGCTCTCTGCTTTCCTGAGCAAAGTCCTCTCGTGTCAGGTTAAGCTACACTGCCAGGGGAACATGCAGAACTTTTGTTGCCTCAAGGTGCCTCTCTTCCATGAGCTGAGATCTTCGGTTTGCACTGAACACAAATAGCAAATTCACCTATGTTCTTACAAATCCTATAGTAACAAAGCTAATTCACACATGCCCTTATTAAGGTGAGTTATGACAGTACCAGTATGAGGGACTAGATGAGCATTTGTGTATCTAGGTTGAACTGCCATTTAATAATCACAGTCAATATTCCCTTGTTTTAATACTAAACATCATTTTCAAAACTGAATACTTCGCTGTAAGCTGCATGCAGACCATGCTGGATTAAATGGGGCTTCCAGTGGGATGACTATAACAACCTCTTAAATGATTAGGACACCTGTTGACATTAATATAGAAGCTTGCATGAAAATAAGTGTGCCACACACTGAAATATATGTACACAAATAATAAGAGGATTAGAGAAACTGCTAAAATGGATAGAGTGGCATTTAGCATGAACATGTCTGGAATCTAAGCAAAATGGAAATAACATACACAGAGCTGATCCCTTGTTAGACGGCTTCTTTTTTTTTTTTTTTTAAGTAGTTCATCTGGGGCATAAAAGTCTCTGCACCAAGAGGTCATTTGCTTACTTTAAAATTTTTGTTTAATATATATCTTTGCTTGGAATCTGCCTCTGATTCATAGCCACCTTCATTTAGTAGCTGGCACCTTTGCCATGCAAGCTACAAGAAAAAGTAATTAAATTTAATAGAAGCCACCCTCACTTTGAAGCTGACTTGGATTTAGAGCCACAGGGAGAAGCAATTAAACTCCAGCAGCCGAGGATTTGAAATGAAGTTATATAGTGATTTTTTTTAAGAAGAAAGTTTCTCCCTAAATGCATTTGGATTGTCAGATCTGATTGGATCCAAAGGTATAGCCTGAAGTTTCCTTCTTTGGAAAATTTTCTCTTGAAGCAAAAGAAAAAAAAAGTAGATATGAAGCAGGGTCAGTTGTGAAGGTTTAGGGTATTTTAAATCCTCTTGAACAAACTTCCAAAGACGAGTTTATTCTTCTTCAGCAAAGTGCTGAGTGGGAAAGGTAAGCACAGATGGGGCCATCTGCGTGTCTTATTTATTTACAAGCTGGCCAACACAGCAGCAGCCTAGGCTGTAGGTGTGTTAGGAAAAGGCATTTATTTGCACTAGAAGGTATTACAAGCATTGTTTAAAGCTGCCAGTGTTTTTTTAAAGCAGCAAGAGTCAGAAATTATTTTTTTCACATGTGTGATTTCACCAGAAAATATTATTTAAATTAAGTAACAGGGACAGAAAAAAAAGACTCTGAAATGCTATTGCCAGTGCCAAACATAGTCCTAACTATTTAAAAATATTCTTTGAGAATTTCCTATAAAGGATCAGAGAGGATTCAGTAACAAATATCTGCTTCTAATGCAGATATTATTCAGAAAAGCAAATTGACAGTTCTGTTAATACTTACAAGGAAGTAAAATTTTCCTGAGCTTCACCAACTCTTGGAAGTATTTGTAGGCTCTTAGCTAAGCCAGAGGCATGTGTGAAAAATGTAATTATTGTCCTGCACGTATTTTGCAATGCGTGCTTTTACTTTCTGGTAAAAGACTTGATTTTAAGTTCAGTACAGGAATAAGTTTCATGGTCCATGACCTATGGATCAGACCAGGTGAACTGACAGTCCTCTAACTGGAGACACAGTAAAGCTATGCTGACCATTTTTCAGGGAAGCGTCTGGGATTGGGTGACTCCCTGGGAAAACATATTATTATATCACTGGCCATTATGAGGTAGTTGGGGGCAGACATGTTAGAAACAGCAAGCTATGCATCCCTGAAAAGACTTCCCTGGCAATGGTGACCAGCCTGTAAAAGGGGACCGGAAAGACAGCGCCGTGTGTGACGTCAGCGCTCCCCGCGGTGCCCTAGGCTCCCCGAAGTAGCTCGCGGGGAGCTACTGGCTCTACGAAGAATGTTTGACCCCAACATTTTGGATGTCCCAGCTGTAATCTTTGACAATGGATCCGGGTTATGCAAGGCAGGTATCGCAGGTGACAGTGCTCCAAGGTCAGTTATTACAGCAATTGTTGGTCGCTCAAAAGCCAAAGCTACAATGCTGGGAGCCGGACAAAAAGAATATTATATTGGAGAAGAAGCTCAGTCCAAAAGAGGGGTCCTATCTTTGAATTATCCAATCGACCATGGCATAGTTACATCCTGGGATGACATGGAAAGGATCTGGAGACATGTCTATGAGTGTGAGCTGAGAATCAAAGCTAGTGAAAGGCCAGTGCTGCTGACTGAAGCCCCACTCAATCCTCTACAGAACCGGGAAAAAATGACAGAGATCATGTTTGAAGGCTTTATGGTGCCAGCTATGTATGTTGCAGTCCAGGCAACTCTGGCTCTCTATGCATCAGCACGTACCACTGGAATAGTCATGGACAGTGGGGATGGCGTTACCCACACTGTCCCCATATATGAAGGATATTGTTTACCCCATGCTGTCTCCAGGCTGGATATTGCTGGCCGGGATATCACTGAATATTTTATGAGGCTCCTTTTGGAGAGCGGGCACTCTTTTGTTAGCACAGCTGAAAGGGAAATTGTGAGAGATATCAAGGAGAAGTTGTGCTACGTGGCTTTAGACCCCATCCAAGAAATGAAAACAAAACCAGAAGAAATCATGAAAGAATACAGACTGCCTGACGGCAATATCATTAAGATAGGCAATCAGCTCTTTCGTGCCCCAGAGACCCTTTTTATGCCTGCAAACATTGGAGTTGAAGCCCCTGGCGTGCACAAAATGATCTTCAATAGTGTCATGAAATGTGACATTGATGTGCGCAGGAATCTTTATGGCAACATCCTGCTCTCAGGTGGGTCCACTCTCTTCCCTGGCCTGGATGAGCGGATCCTGAGGGAGATGCAGCTGCAAGTGCCTCCTGGCATTTCTGTGAGGATCATTGCCCCCCCTGAGAGGAAATACTGTGTGTGGATTGGGGCTTCCATCCTCACCTGCCTGACATCTTTCAAACAAATGTGGGTCACTGTGAGTGATTACAAGGATTTTGGGGCAGCCGTAGTCCACCGGAAATGCTTTTAAGGAGAATGCCAGACCAAATGAATGTCTTGCTACAACATAGCATGAGCAAGAAACCCTGCTGAGGGCTGACTGACCTAAAAGGTGCTGCAGTTGTTTGTGTGTTTATTGGCTGAGAAAACCTTTATGAAAATAAAACATTAAACACATTGGTAACGAGGACTTTGAGACATCTTACTGTTTATCGTCTCCAGGGTGGGCCCAATATGTTCATACCTACCTCATTTCACAGCTTGGAGCTTTGTCTGCACATTCTCTTCCAAACCCTTACCGTGGGGTAACTGGAAGCATAACAAGACACAACTGCTGTTTTCTTGCCTAGTTTAAGAGATTAATCTGGAGTGATTAGAGCTGTTGTCACTGATTCCACAACATTTCTAGCCCCAACCATTCTTGCTGGTCTCATCAGACTAGCATTGGGACTAATATATAATATTGGGACTGCTGCAAGTGGGCCTGTGGGAATCTGCTTTTGACCTTGGGATTTAAAATCCACCACAGCCTTCAAGCAGCAGCTTCTGCACAAAATTAGTCAGCATCCCACATTTTTTAAATTGAAATTAAAATGAAGTTAGATTAGATGCAAGGCATTTTAGAACTTTAATCTGTGTAATCTGTAATGGTCATCAAACAATCGGCGTGTAGGCTATTCGTTGTTATGCGTTGCAAGAGTAACCCTGAAGCACCACATGAGCAAAGGTAACAATTGTGAACGCTAGCCAGAGAGAGAGGAGTCACATTGATCTTTTGGACTAGTAGGACTTGTCTGGTGAAACCAAGAAGATGCATTTCGAAGACAGATCTTCAGACCTTTACAACTAAGCTTTCCAGGCTTGATCTTTGCATAAAACTATTAAGGGGATGTTGTAGGAATGTTTAATTCAAAAGCTTTGGGTATTTCAGCTGTTATTTTTGACAGTGAGTCACAAGCGTGTAAGGCTGGGCTCTCAGGGGAATCTGGCCCAAGACATATTATTCAGTGTGTCATTAGGCATCCTAAGGAAGAAGTGTCAGTGTCAGAAGAGAGTCAGAAGGGATGGTGTGTGGGAGAGGAAGCCCAGCACAGACCAGAGGTGTTGTCTTTGAATTATCCTGTTGAAAATGACGTAGTTACGTTATGGGATGACAGGGAGAGGATTTGGATGCTCATCTATGAACATGAAATGGCAAAACAAGCAACTGAGAGGCCAGCGCTAATGACTGAGAGCCCTCTGAGCCCTCTAGAGAACAGAGAAAAACTAATACAGTTGCTAAGGTTCAGGGTGCCTGCCTTTTATGTGTCTGCCCAAGCCATCCTGTACACACTCTGTGCCTCGGGGCGCATCACAGGCCTAGTCACAGACAGCAGGCATAGCGTAACCCACCCGATAGCAGTCTACAAAGGGTGCTGCTTACCCCATGCAGTCTCGAGGCTGGACATTGCAGGCAGAGACATTACAGAGCTGCTCACAATGCTATTTTTGGAAACGGAACCTTCTTATGCAAAATTTATGGAGAAAAACAGTTTTGTGGAAGATGTCAAGGATTGTGCAATATGGCTACAGGCGCGGAGCAGGAGCTGGCCAAGAAGCCAGAAAGCATACAGGCCGCCCAGCAGAAGTGCTGTGAGGATTGGCACTCTGCTCTTCCAAGTATCTGAGGTCCCCTTTGAGCCACACAGAACCAGCAGCGAGGGACCTAGCCTTCCTAGGATGTTTTCCCACAATGTTAAAAAATGGGATGGCAGCGATTGTAACGCTTCATATAGGAACATGGCGCTGTCTGGACACTCATCTCTTTTTAACAGATTAGACAAGTGGATTTTAAAGGCATTAGAATACCAGGTCCCCAAAGGTGTTCCTATAAAGATTATAGCCCCTGAAGACAGACAATTTTCTTCCTGGATTGGTGTTTCCTGAGCAGTTTCAAGCAAATGTGGATTGCTGCAGCTGACTGTGAAGAGTTTGGCCCTGGCATTGTAAATAGAAGATGCTTTTAAGAGGACTTAAATAAACCCAGCTGTGATCTAGGTTGGACATGAAAAGGGAGAGTTCATGCTTTTGTTAGTTAAAATGAATTGGCTTTAAATTATTTCTCCTGCCTTTCAGCTAACAGTGTCATAATAAATCGGAGTTAAGTTTGACACATGGGAAATGCTCCTGGCCTTTCTCGAGGAAGCAGTATTGTCAGTGCAGTGGCGGAGGGCTGTGAGCTCAGAGGAATCGTGCCTATTTGTGACTCAGGGATCTAGAGCATTTCACCTGATGTTCTGTGTTGGCAGTTGCTGCCAGGGAGAGAGCTGCCGCAAGACAGCCCCTATCCTGCAGAGAATGTCTGACCCTGCAGCCGCTGGGACCCCCGCAGTGATTTTTGACAATGGCTCTGGACAGTGTAAGGCTGGTCTGTCGGGAGAGCGGGCACCCCGTTCGGTTATTTCTACTGTTGTGGGATACCCGAAATCCAAACTTGTCATGTGTGGAGCCGGTCATAAGGACTATTATATCGGGGAAGAGGCTCAGTCCAAAAGGGGCGTCTTATCTTTTACTTACCCAATGGAACATGGAATAGTTACATCCTGGGATGACATGGAGAAGATTTGGAGATATCTGTATAAATACGAACTCAGAATGAAACCCAATGAGAGGCCAGCACTGCTGACCGAGACCCCTCTCAATCCTCTGTCCCATCGAGAAAATATGGCTGAGACCATGTTTGAAAGCTTCCAGGTGCCTGCCCTTTTCGTGGCTCTGCAAGCACTAACAGCCCTTTATGCCTGTGCCCGAACAACCGGACTAGTGCTGGACAGTGGCGATGGTGTTACTGTCACGGTCCCTGTCTATGAGGGCCATTGCTTGATACAAGGCATTACCAGGCTGGATTTTGCAGGCAGAGATGTAACTAAATACCTTGCTAGGCTCCTTTTGGAGATTGGGCATTCCTTTGTAAGCACAGCAGAGAGAGAAATTGTGAGGGATATGAAGGAGAAGCTGTGCTATGTGGCTTTAGATCCTAGCCAAAAAATGCAGGAAAAGCCTGCAAAACTTATACGCGAGTACCTTCTTCCTGATGGAAATGCAGTCAGGGCAGGAGACCACCTATTCCGAGCTCCTGAAGCCCTTTTTGTGCCTGCTGAGGCAGGCATCCCCGCACCAGGGGTTGGGGGGATGGTCCTCCAGAGCATTGCCAAATGTGCTGGGCGTGTCCAGATGGACATCTTAAGGAATGTGGTGTTATCAGGAGGATCGACTCTTTTCCAAGGTTTCAAGGAGAGGCTTCTGAAAGAGCTAAAGACACAAATTCCTCACACAACTCCTGTCAAGATCATCTCACCAAGAGATAGGATGTGCTCCGTGTGGATTGGTGCTTCTATCCTTACCAGCTTAACAGCATTTAGAAAAATGTGGGTCACCAGGGAAGACTATAATGAGGTTGGACCAACAGTTCTCCACAGAAAGTGCTTTTGAAACGTATGACTATCCCGGAAATTTTTTTAAGTGCTGATCTGAACAGCTGGAGAGCAGCTAATAAATCAGTGCAAAAATAATTGATTTGTAGTAAGTTATTTTATAGCTTGGTAAAGAAAGATCCCTTGTGCATTGGATTAAAGAAAGAGTCCTTGTTCAGAGCATTTTTGCTATCCAAGATGTTGGTTTTAGTTCTAGAAATGTGTTGATCCCTGCTAGAACTGCAAACGGTTTGTCGGACTTTTAAACACTTGAGAACAAGCCTCCTCCATCCTATGCCCATGGGGGCTGGCTCCCTGCCATTCACTATAAACTTCCAAAGGTTGGAAAAGAGATCTCTGATGGAGAAATAGAGGGCTCAGGGGTGTTGCTGACCCTTTGCTGTAGCACTGGAGATCTCTTGTAGCAGTCTTGGAGAAACCCAGAAAGGACTGAGCTTCTAAATTTCTTTTTGCACATGCAATGAAAATAGGCTGATCTGGGTGTTAAAGCAGAGCTCTCAGACCTAGAACACTTCTGTGCTATTAGTGGCCTTGCCGTGTGATTCACTCTGTCACACCATGTAAAATGTTGCCCTGGTTTGTCTATCTGCAGGATTTAGCTAATACTCTAGCGTAAAGACTATATGGGTCTTCATTTAGATAGCTTAATATAAGTTTAATTGAGATTAGTAAAACAATTTGAGAGCATGGGATGATATATACTTATTTTGGTTTTAATCTAGGAGATCTCTGAAGAAATTTTGTGATGTCAGGCATCTAAGAGAAGGTGAAGGCAGCTGTCCCTAGCTGACACTGATTCTCTTTTGGGAAAAAAACGAACATGTTAGGAGAAATTGCTGTTTCACTGCCTCATCAGTGAGAGCTAGGGAAACTGAGAACATAATCCTGCAAATATTTGCTGAATTACTAAACAAATCTGCCTTGCTGAGCTCACTTTTTGCAAATAATTACAGCAAATAAACTTAACTAGAGTAAATATCATGGATAATTGATTGGATTTCTGAAATGAATTGTGAAATTCGTAACAAAGTTGTGAATTTTTAGTAATGAAAGTTGCATTTAAAATAAACAATTTGAAATTGATGCAGTTTTAGAGATCACCTTTATCCATATCTGCAAATGTACATACTACATCCAGTCAGGCAATAGACATCCTCTTGCAATTTATGAAACTCATTTGCACTATGATTTATATGTTGTTCAAAAATTATTTGTGAAAAAGATTTGAAGATACTTCTGAGAACTTCATGTGTTTGTTCTAGACCAGTATGAAAACAAGAAAAGAGCTGATATCTGTCTTGTTAGTTATTCAGTACAGTGTCTGGGTATTTTCATTCAGTGCTAGAGATGAATCTTCAAACTCATTGATGCCCTCTGCTGCCTTGGGACTGATTAGTCATCTCTCACCTCACCTCCCTGCCCTCTGAAGAATCGCAAGGTTGTTTTCTCTTTCTACAAGATATTTGCAAATGCAGGCTCTGAACGCAGGCAAAACTAGCTCCTTGCCCCGTTGTCCACAGAGCCCTGAAGCATTTCTTCAGCAGGGCAAGGGGAAAGTAAAAAGAGCTGGAAGAGCCAGCTGCAGAGAACTGTGAGAAAGGGAGCGGAGGACAGTTCGTGGATGAGTCCAGAATTGCGAGGGGGTTTTTTATACCTACACTGCAAAGTGTGAAGTGTAGGAAAAGAGTTGGGTGCAGAGCAGGCTTAGCTCACATTTTTTAGATTGCTCTCAGCAGGTTATGTAATACAGCACATGTTCCTCCCAGAGCCTATTTATAAGGGTTGAGGGTGTAGATGATAGCAGGATATGGACAACTGTATGGATCAGGACATGCAAAGAACCTGCAGTATAGATCTACCCATACGAAGTCTCTGTAAGGGGTCAGTGTCTGGAGTAGGCAGCAGTATTAGTAATGCCATCTGTCCCAGCAATCCTTGCTCATTATGGAGGAGTTTTTCCAGTTACTGCTCTGGATAATCCAGTAAAACAGAAAGGAAATGCTTTCCTGATCATGTCAGAAATGACCTTCCTTTACACCAGTCAAGTACTTTTTCCACAGCTCCCCTGACTGTGCCAGCTGCGCTTCTCCGAATGTGTGTGGTGGTTTGCTAGTACACTGACATCTCCAGCAGCAACTACAGCAAGACCCTCTTAACCTCATTTTCCCCGATTATCAGAATTAAAGAATAAAGCAAAGAGTCCAGAGTCAAACACATAGCTTTTCTGCTCCACTTGGGCCCTAAGGCTTCAGATAGTTAAGAAATGTGTTATTCCATCAAGTTAATGCAAGTACTCAGAGCGCTTTTAGGGCTGTTATGAAATCTGAATCAGCAGTCTTGAATCTTTCTTCTATTGCAGTATGTTACCTTTTAGCAGCCCACTGGAAATGTGTAAACAAATGAGGTACAACTGTAGACAGTTTAAATATTTTACAGCTCACTGACTTCCATATGAGGAGGGATTTGCAGTAACTTAAGTGTTTAGACTCTTGCTCCAATAATCTAAGGCAGATAAAAATGCAAACAACGGTGTGCTGCAAGGTAGGGGAAACCTGAGAGAATGGTGCAACTCAAGGTTGTTGTCAGGAAAGAGAAAAGAAAGATGAAAAGAATGATAAGCCCGCAAACACAGATACAGACAAAAAATGTATTTGGAGTGACACCTAGCAGGGCTCTTGTGTGTGCTTTTAATAAGATTTCACACTTGGAGAGCAAGATATTGCCTGATGTAATCCAGTAATTCACTGACACCAAAACTGTTTTACATCAGGGAACCTGGTTCAGCTCCCCCCAGCTGAAAAATCATTCAACAAACCGCTATTACAGGCACAGAACACCCACACTACTGGTTTGGCCTGGCTGTTTCCATTTACCTGTGAGACATGACTTTGCTCAAGGACACAGAACCAGATAGCGTAAGTTGGCATACGTTCCAAGAGTCTAGACTTCCTATCAACCTCTTCAGCCTTTTGATCACCTTGTGCTTCAGAGTCACTGTGCTGGGCACTGTGAATTCATTACTTTATTTCATGTTTACATTGAAGAAGTCTGAGGTCTTAATCCTCTGGGACCGCATCCCCTAGGCTCTCATGCCATAGGACGTGAGTTGGAAGAATACTTCCTTATAATCTAGTTCCACCCGTATTCTACCTGTCCTCTGGATACATACAGGAGTTTGCTTGTGAATGCCTGTAGTGTTTCTGGCCTCAAGAAAGGAACTAATCTGCTGAGTATAGGAGCGGTCGCAAGGACTGAAGAGGGCTGTATTAATTCCTAGATTTAGCAGTGATTCCTTGTGGAATGGGGAGTCTAATCTTGGGCAAATCAGTTGAGAGTTCCCACTCATAAAAACCCTTCTTTTGGTCCATCCTTTACTTCTGCAAGCTGTTTGGGGCAAGTACTGTTTCTTGTTACCTACCAGGCGCAGCACCCTGCAGTGCTGCGCTGGGCTGG